AACACTTAAAGTCCTGCATAAACAACACTGCCAACTTCTTTTACAACCACAACTCACTCTCCACTTGCATCTGAAGTGCTCGCTCAGTCGTGCAGACAGCAAGAAAAAGACCTGGTGGAAAGCCGAAGATGCCACTGCCAAGGCTACTTCTGGTCAAACTTTGATGTTTAAACGTTTTCATTTACTAATTCCATTTGCAAAGTGTGGCCAATAAAAGCACATAAAATATTTTAAATGATCAGGTGCGCAAATTCTTTTTCAATAAAAAATGTAAACTCATCCACTTTCAGAATGAGAACATTATAAGAACAAAAAAATACAATAAAATTCAGTGAAATGCAGTACATTTCTTTGTCTTCATATTGCTTGTTAGACTTTTTAGAAACTACATCATGAAGGGTTTAAATAGGAGAAAAACATGCTCAAGTGGTGAAGTAAATGCTTTTAAAATAATGAGTTTTATGTCTTTACAAAAGTCTCAGACAGAGTCTGAGACGCAAAGTATTCAAGTTGCCTATTTCACCATCATTAAGGGTTATCATTCACGTAGAGTATTTGAAATCACTCGCATAGTGATCCCTGGAATGTGACATAAGTGTTCTCAAGGTAACTAAAGAATTTTATAACTACGTGGAGAAGCAGCTCTTCAAAGACTGGAAAACGACAGACGCTGTAAAAGGAAAGGAAGAAAGACCTGTGGCTCCCGCCACACAGCGCTCCCTCTGCAGGCTCTGCAGGGGCGCATCCCTGGCCCACTGCAGTTCCCCACCAGGTGCCTGGGCAGTGGTCTTTGTTTGTCTGAGCCTTGTTAAGAGTAAGGACTTAGGAGGACATTAGCGGGGTAACTGCCCTTGACTCCCTCTGTAATGAATGGAAAATTAAGCTGCCTGTAGAAAAGCAAGTACAAGCCTTTAATAAAACACACAGAGCAGCACATTCTTAGGAGATTCCACGTCCCATGAAGATTGATGCTGCCTTCAAAAACCTAAAAAACATTTTGTGAACCCAAATGAACTATGCATTCTAAAGTTCTTAACTCGAGGATGGCTATGTAGGTGGCTCTGCTATAGTTCCTGGAGATGTCATCACCAGACACCCGCAAATAGATGAAAGATTGCTGGTGACCTGGAAAGCAGTGGTGAAAAGCTCCACAGAGGGAGGCTCCAGGGAAGTGGGTCCATGGTGCTGGGCAGGGTCACTAACGTCTGTGCCCTTCCACCATGGAAAGCCAACTGCACTCAGACCGAGCATACAATAAAGAAGGACAATTTCAGGGTGCATGCACCACCCCTTTCTCCCTGTCTTTCTCCTCCCTGCCCACCTCCAGTGTCAGACTTGGTGATATTTTCTGCTCTGCGTCTGTACCCAGCCCCTCCCAGTGGGGAGAACACCTGCTGGCAGATGGGGCTGTACCTGGACCCATCCTGGGGCTGCACAGGCCAGGGGAGCTCCAGCCCGTCGGCTTCAGAGAGGCAAGGGCTGTGACTCAGACCACCCTGTCCAGACTAGTGTCACACACATCTATGTGACTCACGTATGTCAAGAATAGGGCGTGAGTCACCTGTATTGCAAGTCTTGGGCTTGAGCCTAGCTTCCTACATAAAGGAAATGCCCTTGTTTCGAAGGAAATGGGAAACAAGCCACCTACCACATCCTAAAATGTTCAGACTTTGAAGCCAGGTAATTGCAGGATGTGAGAGGAAATGGGAATTAATTTGAAGAGAGTAGAAAGTAAGGGTAAAGTCTAAGTCTTTTTTGGAAAAGTAGGAACCAGCACTGTTACAAGAAAAATGAATGCTGGTGAATGAGGTCCTGCTGGACCTCTGAGGAGGGGGAAGGGCTGATCCCAGGGACCCTGCACACAAGTCCTCCAGAAAGCCAGGTACGGAGAAGTTGCTGCTTCCCCTGCCAGCCTGCTTCCCTACCTCTGCAGACAGCAGAAGGACCCTTTACCGTGGGCTGTGCCTCCTAGGATGTCGATCCTGGAGCTGCTATTTGCCTTCCTTGCATCACGGCAGTTCATGCTAATGCATTAGTTTCAGTCATCAGTTAGTAGTTCCCTGTGACCACAGCCGGCCCTGGGTTCTTCATTAATTGTCTTGCTCAAGTGCCTGTGACCCACTAAGTTGTGAGCTCTTTGCACAGCGAGCACATTCACGCACATTTGTGTTTTTCACAATGAGTTTCAGGGGTGGGGAAAGAGGCCTGGTGCTTCTTAGCTCCCAAATATAATAAATCATCAGGTACTCTGTTCTAGACAGACATCTTCAGGAGGTAAGGAAAGGGAGATAATTTAATTTAGTTCTCAATTAAATCTTAAAATTAATGAAAACATAAAGCATTAAAATAGATTAAATGGAGAAAAGCATTATATATATGATTATTATATGTAAAAATGTTACTTATCTTCAAACATTTATCTAGAAAATAAAATACAGGGGAAAATTAAGTCAGACTTCACCTGTTTGGAGATGGTTTGTCCCCTAGGTTCGTGTGTGGAGAGTGGGTAGTGGTGTGCCCAGGCACATTTAAGAGCAGCCTGGAAGGGGGTATGAAGGCAGTAGGATTCTGTCACCTTCTTGTTTCCTGTCCAGGATGTGACCTCTTCTCACTTTGTGGGTTTCAGCCAGGGTGTCTGGTATGAGGGGTCTGGGGAGAGGGGAGCTCCCACGCCTGGGCGGTGCAGCATGGACTTTATAGTGACCAGGCTTGTGAGTGACACCGAATTCCTTTCTTCATGAAGTCATCGTCGTAACAGTGAACAAACTGATACAGGCAACATCACTGGAAAGAACAGCCAATTTTATAGCATCTTGTTACAATATTTTAAATGTTTGTGTGGACTGTGATACACAGATTGGGATATGTTAAATCTCAGGCCTTTTTTTTTAAAGAAAGAGGATCAATTATTTCTTTCACCATGAACTCATATATAGTGAAATGTACATGTATTTTTCAATAGCAGAAGCACATTACTAATCGGAGCCAGGGCTTCACTCACTGCTAGTGTCTGCCGCGGACTGTCTGCTTCCTCCAGCTAGGATAGGCAGCAGCCAGAGCTGTGAGGCGCGGGCAGCTGTTTGGGTTACACCACCCTCAGGGCTTTGCAGTAACTCCCTTACCCTGTGGGTAGGTACCACTATTCCCTCCACTTCATGCATTTTTCAAATGGAAGAATAGAAAGATTAACTTATAAAAGGTCTCCAATAACCTGTAACAGAGAGAGCACACATAGGCATTTGTCTGAGCATGTTCCTTCTGAACTAGTTCTCCGCGATCCCTCGCTCCACAAACAAGTATCAACGTAACTTTTCCTAATGTTATTTCTACTGGCACCGAGGTAACTAGTCAGTCTCTTGATCATAAAAATAGTAAGGATTTCTTTCTTTAAAAAGCTTTTCTCTCTTCAGGCCAGATAAATGCTAAATGTCCATGCCATGTAAAAACACCTTGCCTCTCCTGCCGGGGTCCCGGCTCTAACAGGCTGCACTCCGGCGCCTCCTTGCCTTCTTCCCCTTCTGGAGAAGGGTGTGGGGTCTTCCGCATGCACCCTCCCTCAGGGGTAAAGGAATGTATTCCCACAGTTGTCAGAACCGCCAGCAGCGCTCAGCTGTCAAAACTTTCAACAACTGCCACAGTGGAAAAGGAGGAGTCACACTGCCCAAGGTTAAGCTGCCCCCCGGGGTGACCCACAGCTGCCCAGCACCGGACTGAGGACTGAGGTGGGGCTGGGGCTGCATCTGCGACCTTGCTTGGTCCTGATTGCTTCCCTGGCCTCCCAAGTGTCCTCTGGAGATGTCTCCACTGAGATGTCGCCCATGCTAACCACCCTCTTAGATTCCCCCCCCCACCCTTGGAACTCAATGTACAATGTTTCCCAGTGTTAATTCTAATCTGTCAAACTTCCATTGGGCAAGAAACCTTAGAGATGAGATAGGGTATATGGAAAGCTATCAGTGATGAAAATGCTGATGAGCTTATTGTGGTCTTGACAAGCATTTAAATATGACACAACCTCACTAAGAGATAGAATCCGAGATGACTGGCTGTTCACCCCTTTGTTCTACAACGTGCTCTCACATTTTCCTTTGTCTTGGTAAAAAAAAAAAAAAAAAAAAAAAAAAAAAAAAAATCCCATGGTAGCTATTGTAGCGCTTTAATTTTGAAAGTACTGAGTTGCCATGTTTCCAAACCATTTTGATCAATGTAAATTTAGTCTGCAGTATACTTTTCTGGCATATAAATTGTTCAAGCATTTTCCCTTTTAATTTTCCAGACAAGCAATGGAAATACTTCATTTAGTAATTTCAGTTTTCATTACTGCAAATGAAAAAGCTTGTGTAGATTTATGAATAAATATTGACTATAGATAAATATTTTATTATTTACTAAATACATGTAAAAGCTGGGGATTTAGCTCAGCAGCATAAGCACCTGCTTGGCAAGCACTAGGTCATGTGTTCGATCTCTGGTACCAAAAAAGAAAAAATAAGTAATATATGGAGAGAAATCATAATAATATTAGAGTTGCTTAGATTATAGTTTCCACAGAAAATATTTCTATTTCAAACTGAGACTACATGAAAATTATCCAAAATACATATTTCAGTCTTTCAAAGGAGAGATTAATCAAAGTATTCTCATATCAACATTTCTTTTATATTTCCAAAAGTTTCAAAGGACAGTTAGGTAAAACGTCATGATATAATCCTCAAAGAAAGCAGCATATAAAATATTTGTTCACTAGAAAAAGATAAAGAGGCCATAATGCAACACACACAAACATTTTCATCACCAGCATTTCTGATCCCTGTCCTGTGGCTTTCTGTCTGTGTGGCTTAGAAACACTACTCAGTTCCTGCATCACATTAGCAAGCTGCTTTGTCTAATAACGTTCAAATAACGTGCTGCAAAGCACATGGAGAAAGGAGGAATATGGTATAACAATGTATATATGGTATAATAATGTGTGGTATAATATGGTATAATAGTTTCATCCTGTACTCGCTTTGGCAGCACGTATACTAAAATTGGAACGATACAGAGAAGATTGGTGTGGCCCCTGCACAAGGATGACATGCAAATTCATGAAGTGTTCCATATTTTTACAACACAAATGATATCAGGAGGCTATTTACAGATAGCTGAAAACTTCCCAAATTATGAGAATGGAAACTGACATACAGATCCGTGAAACATATAGAACCCTAAAATAGCCATAACCAAAATAAAACTATACCCAGACATATAATAATCCACATCCCAGAAATCCAACATAAGAACAGGGTATTAAAAGCTGCTAGAGAGAAGAGACAGATCACCTATAAAGGAAAGCCTATAAGAATCACAGCAGACTTCTCATCACAAAGAAGTCAAGAAGAGCATGGATTAAAATAAAAAAATAATGATAATAAAAGAAGAGCATGGAGTGAAGTATTTTAGATCCTAAAGAAAAGCGACTTCCAACCCAGATTGATGTACCCTGCAAAACTTTCCTTCAAAATGGACGGAGAAATAAGATATTTCCACAACAAAGAACAGCTGAAGAACTTTATGACCACCAAACCAACCCTGCAAAGAATACTGAAAGACATTCTAGATAGATGTAGGAAAAAAACCACTAAGCAAGGCAGACAATTACAGAGTAGAGAGGTAAAGAATCAACAGCAGAAAGATAACATGTCAAAAGTAAACCATTATAAACATCAATGTAAATGGCCTCAACTCACCAATTAAAAGAAACAGACTGGCAGAATGGATCAACAGTTTCACCCTAAGAAAGGATGACCGATCACACAACGGAATATTATACAAAACTGAGCCACCCAGTAGCCTAAGTATACTCAGAGATACATCCAAAGTATGTTTCTGGCTGTTATTTCTGCTAGGTAAAAACATATACAAATTAAGAAAACATGACAGAGATATATCGATGTAAAAACATAAGACAACATTTAAGGAAAATGAAGAAACTTTTTAGAATTTAATACTTCTTCATTCCCTCACATCTGTACTTTCTTATATTCTTTGATTGCTTATTTTCTTGGAAGAAGAGAACATAAAATGAATGTAGAAAGTAGTTCTTGAGTTCTGTAGAATTGAAGTTCATTAACACTGAGAGATAGAAGATGGTATAAAACCTACCCACGTCTCTTACGTCTCTGCACTGAATATTCTCCAAGTGACTGGGCTTTTCCCCACCCTACTAACACGGAGTCTTGAGGACGGCAGAGTCAAGCATGCCTCACTCTATGTTAGGGTGAAGCACTGGTAGGGGAACCCCATGAGCAGGTCCCAAAGGGATGAACGAGGTCACCTATGAATGGACCTCAGTGTAAGAAGACATCACCTTGAGGTGAAGAGATAAAGGCAGGTGTGTCTCCCTATGGGAACCCTTCCAACCAGGGTCCTCCACCTGGGACCTGGCTCCTTCTTTGTACTCAGTCTTTGACTTACTCTCTCAGACTTTCAACTTACTTAAGAAAAATGGGACATATGTTTTATAGGGCCTGAAATATTCAAGAGATAAGCACAGTTGAATTATTTGCTGCTTAAGAAAACAATGAATATCAGGTTTTGCCTTGTTTTGTGCAGTTGTATTTATTAATGAGGTATGGGATTTACAAAGTAAGAAATTCTCACTACTGAAGACCCTGAAGATAAATGATTGATTTTTACATGGGTTATTAAACTGCACAACTCTCTTAAGATTCTCCTTCCTCTAAAAACAAATGGTTTATCCCCATAAGTCACTCTACAATCACTCTTGTGTCTTAGCCTCCGTCCTCCTCCTCCACCTGGCCAAGGGCAGCACATGTAGCCCAGCGCTTATGCCTACTCAGAGTGCAGGTGTGCATCTCTGAGTCCCAGGAGGAAAGAAACCAGGCTTGGTCAGGAGCAGAAGCAGAGGAACCAGAGGGGAGCCCAGCTTCCTTGAGACAGGTCAGGGTTTCCAGTGCTTCCTGGGCCTCAACAAAGCTGTGGTACCCTTTGGGGTGGGGGAGTCCCTGAAACTTTGCAACGTTTTGTTCCTTCTCCACTGAGCTCTGAGTGACACCGCTGAGCAGGAGGCACAGGGTGGCTATGAGTTCCTGGAATGCAGACCCAGCAGGAAGTGCCCAGCTGTCTCCTGGCAGAGCCCTGGCCAGCATCCCGCATTCCTGCTCAGCTCCTGGTGGGGCCAGGGCTGCATTTCTCCTGGGCTCCTTGCTCCTGGGACGCTTCTCCTTACTCCAGGTCCTGGAATGACTTGAGCACCACCTAAGGTGGCACAGGTCTGTAATCCAGGCACTCTGGGGGCTGAGGCAAGAGGACAAGTCTGAGCTCAGCCTGGGCAATGTAGCAAGTTAGAGAGAGTGTCTCCCAAAACATACATATACACTAATATTAAATGCTTAGCCATGTTATTATCTATTAAATAACCATATTCTGTATAATAAAATGAAAAGATATGGAGCTACAACTCAGTGCAAAGACCCTAGGTTTAACCTCCAGTGCCAAAAATGTGTATATATTATACACTAGAGGCATCAGAAGTAAGGAGCTTGGAAATGAATGAGGGCCCAGTGCTGGGTGGCCCTCCCAGCTGGAGCCCTTAGGCCAGGCAGTGACCCAGCCTCTTGCTCAGGAATGGGGCTCTGTTCTGCTCTGTTCGCCTGCAGGGCACCGAAACCCCCACGCCAGCACTGAGCAGGGTAAACTGCATCTTGCTTCTTGTGCGGTTCCAGCTTCCACAGTCGATGCTCCCTGACTAAATGTAACTCAGCCTAACCGTGACTACAAACCTCCTGACATTTATAACCGCTTTCTTACTGTCAAGTTCATCACTTATTTTATTTTGCGTGTTGTGGGTCGCAGTGAGCCCTATCTCCAGTCCATTTTTTTTTTCGTTTTTATTTTGAGGCAGAGTCTCTCTAAGTTGCTAAATTGCCTAGGCAGAGCTAGAATTTTCCATCTCTGGCTTCTGCCACCCACGGAGCTGGCATCACAGGTGTGTGCACCATGCCCAGTTCGTCCTTATTTTTAGACTCTTGCTGGAGTTTCATTGGACAGTTCATAACTTTGGACTATGTGAAGAACATTTTGGCTGCATCTAAGTAAGGTTGGCTTTCCCTGTTTGCTGGGAAGAGGTGGTACCAGGGACCGGCCATGCCTCCTGTGTCAACTGTGGTTTTTGAAGGCACATAAAATAAGCTGTAAACCATTAAATTAAAGGTGGTCGGGGGTGAGTGAAACTAAAAGCTGCTTCTTCCAACAGGTAAAGTTTAATCCACTTAAGCACACATAGTAGGTTAAGATACCTGTTGAACTTATTTTGGGTTAGGTAACCTCAAGGGGCACCAAGTACTTGTGGCAGTTTAGATTCTAGTCAGCTTTGGCTTTAGCTTTAGCAGCATCAAAGAACCCTCCGCTGACTGCGGGCTGATTCTTGAAGCCACGATCCCCTAATGCTGGGATCTAAACTACATCTCCATGCTTTCATATTCTCCGAGCTCCCTGAAAACTTCCTGAGGCAAATGGCCTCAGTTCATCACTTTATTTACCAGGTCAATTGTATCAATGAGAGCTTAAAAAATAGAAAAGTCTTTACAACATGCAGTAAATAAATGTATTTAGCTCTACAATGCAGGTCCCTGAAGAGCTGTATTTAAAATTTTCCAATGAAAATAATTTCCAAACCTGTATTATGAATAAGTCTTCATTAAACATAAAGAAAATAGAGGTTTGATCCAAAGACAGTGGTTCCTTGTCAGGAGAGAGGTGTGAGAATGCAGAAAATTCGATGAAATCAAGCAGATATCATTAATCAAATAACTCAAGAGGCACCAATGACTGGATTTGAATTCACCTCTCTGGACATCAATGAGGGAATCTTCTTGTTTTGTGAAGCAGTTAAAATGTCAACTTGATAAATGGGGTCAATTCTTCCCTAAGCACCTATTCCACTATTTCTTTTATATGTTGACCAATGTACACAATAAAGCCAAGGTTAATTATTTGTTAAAAATAGAAATAAAGCATTCATCACTTTGACCAAAGATAGATGTTTTCAATGAGCCAGCTAAATACCTTTAAACCGAATCCCTGTTTAAAGGACTGAACAGAGGAGAATCAATAGCATCATGTGGAGTGACCTGTTTGCCATGGCTTAGGCCTACTAAACTATGCTCCTTCCTAGTAGGTATTTGAAGGCTCTTAATAACAGACGACAATTTTCTAAGCAATATAATCCCCGTTTCATGTCTCCTATGCACACGCTAGGTTAACACTTCACTTCCACAACCTTTTCTTTTGCATCTTTTGAAAAATATGATAAAAATTTGTATCCAAATCTAATTAAAGCAAAATAAAAAAAGAAAATTAAAAATTTTAAACCATGCTGATTAAGTAGTGCTGCTATGCTTTTTTAACACAAGATACAGTGATAGTTTTTTTTTAGTTCTCCATGAACTTTACAGTAGAAGTGCTGAGAGAATGGCCAACAGAAACAAGGAAATAAGCATCAATAATTGAGAAAAGTTATCGCTAATGTTGTGAACAATATCCCGTGACAGCGATAGCGCTGACACCTTGGTAAGGAACAGTCTGTAGTTAATTTTATCCCAGATGTCCTGTTACAGCACCACATGCCCGGCTCCCATTTGTTGCGAACTATACATTGCTATAGATGGATGAGTGATCCCTCCGAAATTCAGTTATTTACTCCTCAACACCATCCCATCTGCAGAAAAGGACTTTAGACAGTAATTAAGGTCATTAGGTCAGGCTCCTAATCCAAGAAGGAAATTCTCATTCATTCCCTCTCCCTCTCTCTCTCCCGCTCCCTCTCCCTGTGTCTCTGTCTCTCTCTCCATCTCTGTCTCTCTACCCCTGCCCATCGCTCTCTGCAAGCCTAGAAGTTGGCCCTTACTGGAAACGCACTTGGCTGGCTTCTTAATCTTGGGCTTCCTTTTTCTAGAACTGCAAGAAATGCATTTCTCTTACGTAAAGGCATCCAATCTGTGGCATCTTGTTTTAGTAGCACAAGCTGACAAACATATACCTGTTCCTGCTTTGAACCATCAAATATTTAAGCAACTATTTAGTATGTCATAAAAAATAAGCCAC